TGTAAAAAATAATATGTATACAAAAAAAAAAAAGTGCAAAAAAAATGCACATGAATAGGGCATAAATACTTATAGAAAATATGGGGTCTTTAAGGAAAGGAAAATCGGAGCAACACCATCCTTGCGTTGCTGAATTGCCCGAGTCATGTTCACTGCATCACATTCAAGCTTCACCTTTGAATTAGGGGTGAAAGTCCGGTTTTCGGTTTGGTTTATAGGCCAAACCGAAACCGAACCACCCTAATTCGGTTTTTGGTTTTTGGAAACCAAACCGCACCACTTTACTTTTGAAACCAAACCAAACCAAACCATATAAATTTCGGTTTCAAAAGAAAAAACCGAACCAAACCGAATTTTTTTGGGCCTTGTTTATTTGGGCTTTAATCTGCAATTTTTGTGGGCTTAAATCATATAAATATTATATTCATCAACATATGTAGTAGCATAAATGCTTAATGAGATTTAAACAACATTAACAAGTTCTAAAACTTCAAAGTTATAATTCAAAATTTTAAAAGTTCAACACTTCATCCAAAAAAAAAATAAAATTGTTCAACATTACAACTTTAACAATTGTTTAACAGCAGTAGCAACAAGCAGCATAGACCAAGTTCTAAAAGGCAGTAAAAAAATTGTTTAACAGCAGTAGCAACAAGCAGCAGGGCAACAACAGCATCATAACAGCAGGTCAGCAGCAAAAGCAGGTCAGCACTCAGCAGCATAGACTAAGGCAGTAGCAGTGATAGAGCAAGGCAGTAGCAAGTCTGGCAAGTGGCAACAGCAAGTCAGCAATGAGCAAAGAGCCACATCAGTCTATTATTTCGAGCACTTCATCAATATCAGCATCACCAACTGCCATATTCTTCAAGTCTATCATAATTCATAACAAAAATAACCAAGTTAAAATATATACACATAATGAAAATAAGTAACTTATGATTAGATGTTCTTATATATTACCCTCTTTAAGAAGCTCAACTTCCTCTAAACATTCTTCAATACTTGGAAATGGTGAAGCACGTAACCAATTTTGAGCACAAACAAGACCTTCTACAACTCGAGGAGTTAATGAGCTCCTAAACTGATCTAGAACCCTGCCCCCAGTGCTGAATGCACTCTCAGAAGCTACTGTCGAAACAGGGACAACAAGAACATCACGGGAAATTCTCCCCACAGTAGGAAACCTTGAACAATTGAACTTCCACCAGCTCAAAATGTCAAATTCATCAATATCCTCCGCTGTATCCTCCTCCAAATATTTGTCTAACTCTATTTTTGCATCTCCATCTCTCTCACACTTGTGTTTCTTATACTTACTCTTTAAGACTTCAATCTTTTTATGTTTGGGACTCAATGGAGTTTTGCCATCCTTACTTGAAGACACTTCCTCCCTATTCACATCATTACCAGAAGAAACACGATACTCCTCATACAAAGCATTCAAAGCTACCTTCACATTATCAACTAACTTTGATGCAACAATAGGGTCATAAATTTCAGTTATCATCCACTCAACATAATCAAGCTTATAACGAGGATCAAGGACAACGGCAATAAAAATCAGGAGGTTTATTTTTTCTGGATCACCCCAATACTTTTCATATTTTTCTTTCATTCTACAAGCCATAAGACACATATCCACATCATCACTTGAAACCAAATCTTTCATAAGTACAGCAACACTCACCAATTCATGAAAAAACAAATTCAAACTGACATATAAAGAGCCAGAGACATGCAAGGTCAGATCATAAAAGGCTTGTAGAAATTCAGAAAGTCTTCTTACATTATTCCAATCATCAGAATCTGGGCTACCCTTACCATCCCTCTCATTCAAATCAACTACATAGTGAGGGTCTTCCCCAGAATACCTCTCAAAAGCATCTTGAAGCTCAATAGCAGCATTCAACATCAAATAGGTGGAGTTCCACCTAGTAGGCACATCAAGGCAAAATCCCTTTTTTGTGTTGATTTTTTCATCTAAGACACATTTTGTAAACCTTTGCAACCTAGCAGGAGATTGTTTGATAAACCTAACAGCATGCCTAACACGTTGAACCGACTCATTAACAGTTTTCAACCCATCAGAAACAACCAAATTGACAATGTGTGCAACACAACGCATGTGAAGGAAACGACCCTTAAGAACCCCAGTTTTCCACCCATTTATTTTCCTTCTCATATACCCAATTGCAGTATCATTTGAGCTAGCATTATCAACTGTTATGCACATGACATTTTCAAGCCCCCAATCAAGCAAACACTTTTCAATTTCTTTGCCAATATCATCACCCTTATGACTAGAAATAGGACAAAAATTCAGAATTCTTTTGTGTAATTTCCAATTATTATCAATAAAGTGGACAGTCAAGCACATGTAATTGATTTGTTGTATAGAGGTCCATGTATCAGTGGTTAAAGAAACTCTTGAATTACACCTTTTTAACACATTTTTCAGCTTTCGTTTTTCAGTTAAATATGTTTCAAAACAATCTTTGGCTACTGTAATTCGAGAAGGAACATTAAATCTAGGCTCTATTACACCACAAAAATGTCTAAAACCTATACCTTCAACAAACTTAAATGGAAGTTCATCAACAATCACCATAAATGACAAAGCTTTTCTAATACTACCAGCATCAAATTTGTGGTATGTCAACCCACTAGTACCACCACTTGGTTCTTTAGCACTTTTAAATGAAAGCAAACTTTGTTTTGAATCTTTAGGGGTGTTAAAGGGATACTTACGACATCGCGAAATATGAGCCCATAACACACTAGTGCCGTTTTTCTTTGCCCCACACTTGTAGCTCATCCCACAATACTTGCAAATTGCCTGCATTCCAGAAGGTAAGTCTTCTTTATCAAAGTGCTCCCAAACTTCAGAGCGTTCTTTCATCCTCTTCCTTTTTGCTCCCTGTTCTTTTTTCTGATTTTGAGAGACTTGGTCAGTCTCATGTTCGGATTGAGGCTGGTCAGGAACACCACCCACGTTGGTTGTCATTCAATAATTCGTGGTTGAATAACAATCTGTAAGAATACATGCAAACTCATAAATTAAGAATATTGGATCTTTTAAAGGGAATAATAGGTTGGGGCGGTTGTGCATTAGTCATGCAAACTGTTTTCTTGTTTATGAGGCTTGGTGCAAAACTTATTATGATATTATATTAACAATTGTTGTTAGATGAAATTAAGTTAATATTGGGTTTTGTTAGTTTTGTTACATATTTTTGAATTGTAGTTAATTTATTTTAGTAAGAATTACAATGAATTTATAGTCCTATAAAAAAAAAAAGAGACTTACAGTACCAATAATAATAATTATACCCCTAATAAACAAAATCAATAGTAACTGGCTAACTGCACAAAAGACAATAACAATTTAGCAATAATAATTAGCCCCCTAAGATTCCACCCCACCACCCAAAAACAATCAAATTAAGCACTAACTGACTAACTGTACCCAAAACAAGTAAAATCAAAATTAACAATAATAACAAAGATCAACAATCTAATAAACACTTATCAAGACAATGATAATGCTATTAATCATGCGAACCCTTGAATTAATAACTAACTAATAATCTGAAACAATCTTCAACAGAGTCCAATCGAATAGAGCTTCAAAATACCAGAAAATTCAGAATGTTTTACTAGACCAAAACCCTAATCAGAATGTTTTACTAGTCCAAAACCCAAAATACCCTTGAATAGACCAAAACCCCGAAGCATCAAAATACCAGAAAATTCAGAATGTTTTACTAATTTGTACAGAATAGAAAATTCAGAAACAACATCGCAATATGAACATCAAGCATAGATTAAAACCCTAATCAGAATGTTTAACAAATTTGTACATGTAATTTGCAGAGTTTTGTAATTAACATTTAACACTAATCATAATTAAAACCCTAAAAAAATATGAACATCAAGCATAATCAAAACTTAAAAGCATACCTTTGGACGGTGGACGGTGTCACAGTGAACGCCTGAACGAGTGCCGGTGAACGACGGAGAGTGAGAATTCTGAGAAACACAAAAGAGATGATTGAGAAACTGAGAAAGTGAGGGTGATAGACTGAGAAATTCGCAATGAGGGTAGGGTAAGAGGCGAGGAACTGAGGAAGTCAGGAGAGAGAATCAGAGAATGAGGGTTAGGGTTTTTTTTTTTTTCCTTATATACTTAGGGTAAATCTGGGCCTAAATTTCGGTTTTCGGTTTTTTTTCGGTTTTCCATTTCCTCAAACCGAAACCAAACCGAAAACCGAAATATTTTTTTTTAAAAACCGAACCGAACCACTTCAAAAAAAAAACCGAACCATATTTCTTATTCGGTTCGGTTTTCGGTTCGGTTCGGTTTTAACCCGAATTTGTTTCACCCCTACTTTGAATAACCCCATCTGTGCGCTAATTCAAGCCCATAGGCTGCACCAGCTGCTTCAGCTATTTCGGGAGCCCATCTGCAACAGATTTTCTTCACGCCAGCTAGCAAAACTGTCCCAGCATCGTCTCTGATCACCACACCCAAACTTACCCCCTCCTCACCTATCACATGGGCATCTACATTAATTTTTACCTGACCATTTGGTGGACAGACCCACGTTGCTACTGTTGGTGCAATGTTACCCCGAGAGCTGCCCCCAACCTTTGTGAAAGTGGGGTTCGTGGGAGAGAGAAATTATAAATTAATGGTGGGTCCTTTCCAAATATAGTTGTGTTGCAACTAATATGAAACGGCCGAAAATGAAAAGTGTTGCAACTAATGTGAAACGGAAGGAGTAATTCACTAAACTTAGCTTGGATAAAGAACGAGCTATATACACTACAAGGTACTGAACTTTGCCAAATATATCAATTAAGGTACTGAACTTTTATTTGTATCAAATAGAGTACTTTGACCTAGGCTGGAGGTAACCTTTCAGTTGGTAACCTATTGTAACCGGTTTATTTGATTTAAAATAAATAAATAAATAAATAAATTCATGGATAACAACTTTTTCTTTCTCTAGAATATTACTTTCATCCAACTTTCTCTATCTTCTCTTCTCCTTCGTTTTACAACCCCAATTCAATTTGGATTATTTTATGGGGTTTTCTTATACAAGTATATAATTTTCATTAATTTGCCTCTATTATAAATAATGTGGGAATTAATTTTCGATAACAATTCGATTACTTGTTAGGGTTATTCTTGTAGTTGATGCTCTTAATAATTACCCCTTTCTTCTTTTCGTCTGCAAATTCTTTTCCAATCAATAAAACTTAATAATTATATAAAATTCTTGAAGAATGAGCGTAATATTGTGGGAAAAAGCAGTAGAAAAAGGAGAAGAAAAAGAAGGTTGAAGATAGTGGCAAAAATGGAGGAGAGAGAATAGAAAATAATGATGTTTTAATTCCTCCTGTCAATTTTTGTATGGTGGAAGTCTGGAAGATGGACTTTACAGATCTGGGTTTCAATAACCTTCGAATTTCGGCTTCCTCTAAACCCTAAGTCCCAAGTCTATCAGGTAAGTTAATGATTTTTTTATGGTTAATTATTGTAATTTAGGGTTAATTAGTTTGTTATAATTAATGAGATTTTATTTGATTGTGTTATTATTAATTAATTATTGTATTTAAATTTCAATGTTGCAGAGATATTTGTGTACCGTGCTATACCCAGAATCGCATTTGAAGTTTATTGAATCGCATAATATTCGATTGTGGTTTAATTTTTTATATGGAGTATTAATTATGAAATTATTGGTAGCTCAAAGATGAAGGAAGGTTTTTGGAACAGACCTTCAATGGAGCTGCAATAAACATTTTTGGAAAAAAATTGAAAGTTCAGTACCTTCCATAATTTTTGTCAGAATTTTATTTTTTCTTTTTTTTTTTTTGTTGTTAACCGGTTGTTGTAGGTGGGAAAGTTTAGTACTGTTCCTTAAGTACTTTGCCTGATACAAATGAAAGTTCAGTACCTTGCCTGATACATTTTGCAAAGTTCAGTACCTAGTAGTGTAAATAACTTGATAAAGAACTTGTTTTATCCATACTTTTTTTTTGAAGAAAAACGTTAGGGGAGCTTTTATATTGAGGCATTGTTTACTTCACCTTAAAAAAAATAATATTCAGTAAAAATAATTTCACTTTAGTAAAATTAATTTCATTTTAGTAAAAAAAGTTCAATTCAGCAAAATAAGTTCAGTTCAATCAGTAAAAATAATTTCAGTTCATAAAAATCAGTAAACTTAAAGAAGAAATATAATAGAAAATTGGTAAAAATAATTTTAGTTCAGCAAACATAATTTTAGTTCAGTAAAATTAATTTCAGTTCAATAAAAATAATTTCAGTTCAGCAAATATAATTTTAGTTCAGTAAAAATAATTTCAATTCAATAAAAAAAGGTGAAGTGAATAGGGCCTAAATCACTAGATTAGACTCGTGCGTTGCACTATTTAATTAATTTTCATTATTATGCAAGAAATAAATCATTTGTGTAAAAAAGACAGGTAATTTTTTTATTAGAAAAATGTATAGTGTAGGTTTAAAAAAATAAAATAAATGATGACATCAAACATAGAAAAAATGGAGGGAAAATTTTTAATGTTAGAATGACACGTAGGATAATTTGAGAGTTAATGATGTCAGCAATGTTTTGTTTTAGTAATAGATTGCCTGCCAAAATTAAAACACTTTGGGGGAAAACATCCATAAAATCATGTTCAGAACTACCCCGAGTAACCCATCTCGAGTAATACTTTATTTTATTTATATACAAATAAAACAAGCGTTCCAAATTAAAATTTTACATGCCTTCATTTATTATTGTTTCCTTTTCAATTTCATGCATATTATCAACTTAAGTCAAAAAATAAAGATATTGTAGGTATTCATATGATTTAAACATACAATTGATACAACCTCAAATACTATGGATATAAAATGACCACGAGCATTACTCAGGCCCAAATACTATGGATTTCTAAGACTTCATGCAATCAATAATTGAATCAAGTTGCTTGCTTATGATAACTACTTTCTTATTATCTTTATGAAATGAAATGAGAACAACTTACGTATTAGTGGGTGGGGAATATGGAGATAAGGGGACTAATTCCATGTGAATCAATTAACTTAGGATTTAGACAACCTATGTGATTTAGCTACTATCCAAAATCAATCAATGTTTATTTGACAATTGATAAACATGAACTTACGTATCAATTGAATTGCTTAATTAATTGGTCTCTTTTGATACGTCTATTTATTAATTTTTTTTTAATGAAACACGTCTATTTATTGATTTGTATGTTTAGAACCAAGTGAAAACGAAAGATTTGTGTAAAAATTATGAATGAAAAATTCGTTTACCCTCATTCATTGGTTCAGCGTAGACACAAAAGTTCTTAATAGTTCCTTTATATAATAGAGATAATGAACATAAACCGTTAGGCAAAAATGTTGGATTAATGGCTTTAAAAGCCTTCATAAGTTCATATAGTCTATATATCCAACAGAAAATGTATGAATTTTTTTGCTAACAATAGAATAATTATTTGTGTGTTTTTTTTTTTTTTTTTTTTCACAAAGTAATACTCCCTCCATTACTCTTATTTAATTTCCCTATCCAACTCCAAAGAGTATTCGATATACATCTTAAAACATGTATAATTCTAATTTTAAATACGTAAAAATTATAGTAATGTAACGTAAAAATTTTAAAGTAGATTTTGAAACAAATCTAACAAGATTTCATATGATCAAATTATATTTTTTTTATGAAATTTACATTGCCAAGATTTGGAAATTCTATATGGTTTTTTATTTTTTTAATTTTTTTATTTTATTTAACCATAGTTTCTACTTTCTAGTGATATATTATATTAGTAAATTAAAGGAAAGGAAAGGAGATGATTTGGTATGATATTAGTAAAAGCAGAAAAGGAAAGAGAAAGCTAATTCTAAGCTTGACAAGTATTTAATTTCTTTCTTTCCTTTCAAATTGACCCAATAATTTTTCAAGATGAGGATTTCAATCCCATTACTCCATGTTAAGCTCCTTTGTGTTTAGTTTGTTTATTTTCAGTTTTGTGGAGTTAAGTTCGTGTTTTAGTACAGTTTGTGGTTTCCTTGCCTTATTGGTTCTCTATCGAAAGTTTGATAAGTTGGTTGTTCTTCGATGCTCTTGTCGTTGTTTTATTTGGGGCTGGTTGGGTTTTATCATGTGGTGTAACATGGTTTTAGGGGAGCTAGGGGATGTGTTAACCTCCTCTTACAATGTCCTGGTGCTCGGATTCGGGTATTTGTGGAGACTGCCATTTTTTTGTGGTTTGTCTAGGCTCTTATGATTGGTCTTGGCTTGTTGTTTGTATGTTGTTAGCTCTTTTGATCACTACGGTCAAGAGAGTATTCAAAGGTTATCCCTTGGTCACCTTAATTTCAGTTTAGCAATGGATTTACAATTTATTGATATGAAAAACCTTTATCTTAACCCTGCTCTCCAACATGGGGGCTCCCTTAAGTTTTTTTTTGGGGGTTTTTAGTATGGTAATGGTCTTTTTCTTACAGAAGAGGCCAAAGGTACCACGATTAAGGGTACCGAGTCACCTTTTAAAGTGACTCTAAGTGTGTTGTCAAGCCTGGGTCGTCTGTTGTTCCTACCCCTGTTGCCTAATGCTAAGGACTATTGGTGTCTTTTTGAGCTCGTGTTATTGTTAACAACCAATAACTATGTGTTCTATGCTCTTTCGTCCATTTTCCAAGATCAACGATATATGGGATGCAAAGATAGCAATGATAACATTGGGTATATCTTGAAGCGTGTTCAAAGGCAAACACTTGGTTTTTTTAAGGAGCAAGCCCTAGTTTATAACCTTGATAAACAAATATGTTTATCAAATAGAATTTTCGTAAATAAGTTGCATTGAAAATTGTGTTTTTGATTAAAAAAATATATTTTTACTGTTTTTGGGCCATTATGACAAGTTGGACAGATTTTTAGAGTTAACGGTGTTAATTCACCGTTTGTTACTATTCATCTTCTTCCTCCCACCTTTTCTCAAATCTTCCACCGGCAGCACCACCATAGCCATCATGTGGTCCACCACCATCACATCGACCACCATCCGAAACCCATCACAGCCACCGCCATATGTCCGCCTTCCGCCGATCAAAACCACAATAGCCTTCCTTTTCGTCCCGTCATCTTCCTCTTCTTCCTGTAGTCCCCATCTTCTTCATCAACAATGGTCGCTTTGCGGGGAAACAAAAAGACACCCTACTAGAAAAGAGTGTAAATTATGTTCATATCAACCCCTTAGAAAAAGCCTTTCATTCGCGGTGGCATTTTGAACTACCGTAGGTGGAGGAAGAAGTGGTTTCTGGGTTTGGGACTTTGAGTTTCAAATTTCCACCATTGAAATTGAAGGTTGAAGGAGGAGAGAGAAAACAACAAAAGGTTGAAGAAGGAGATAGAAAATAAAAAAAATACCAAAAGGTTGAAGGAGGAGAGAGAAAATAACAGTTAACCAAAAGTTAGATATAATTTACATATATACCCCTAGCCTTTTGTTTATCAAGGTTATAAACTTGTATTTTCTATTTTTCAAGCCGACAGTTTCTTGCAAGGATGATGTTATGTAGTTTTATATGTAATTGTTGTACCATTGGAGCTAGTAAAGCTTCTTTGGGCAGTTTATCAAACCTACTCCATAGTTTGTAATTTTTATTACAAGTCTATTATGCTGATGTCAAAAAAAAAAATAAAAAAAAAAATAAAGTTTTGTTTTCAGATTTTTTAAGTACTTTGAATTTATCAGATTCATATCAACTAATTGGTTGGAATATACCTAGATGTATATTTTTGCAAATATTCCACCTAACATAATACTCCGTATTTTTGCAATTATCTAACCATTTTTTTTTGGTGAAAATATTATCTAACCTTATAATAAGATTTGGAATGTATTATTATTATTTCCATCTTTAAAATAATATATGTGCATATATAAACAATCTTTTCTTTCCAATTCAATAAATTAAAAATGATTCTCCATCCAATAAATTATATTCTCTCCGTTCTTGATAATTCAACTCACTTTGCATTTGTGCGATCTCCAATGACCATCTTTGACTATAAATATCTTCGGCTATGTATAAGCGAAAATTATAAAAAAATTGTTTTATTTTGACCCTATAAACAGTAAGTGAGTCAAACTTTGAGAAACGGAGGTAATACATCAATTTGTTTTATTTTAAGTTGTTAAAGCTATAGGTTTTATAAGATAAAAAAAAAAAATTAGAAATATTTATAATATTGCCTTCCCTTTGAAGCTAAGTTTACAAAAATTGTAAACCTTGAGCGCAACATCCACTTCTTATTCTATAAACACAAACTTTTTAGTGGACTTGCATGATTGCATGTACCAGATTATTATGGGACCCAGAATATGAATTTAGCTTGCCACTCCATAAAATTATTGAAGTTTCAACTTTCAATTAATCCAAGAATCTTAGCTATTACCATCACCCCATTATTATTGTTAACGAAAACATGAAAAGGATCTCATAGAAAAAAAGAATCCGTTATTACCACTACATTATTATTGCTTATAAGACTGGTAGATAAATATATATAACAGTATAATAATGACAATCTAAACAAACTTAATAATTCTTAATAAAATGACATTTATATATATAAATAATATTATTAGTTCTAGCCTGTTCACAAGATTTCTTAAAAAAAAATTGTGTTTTTGTGTACGGCTGATCATATCATGTGACCGCTTATAAAAATAGTCATATAACACTGATCGAGTAACCTCTATAATATTGACAAACTAACACATGTAACAATGACGATTGAGTAACCCATATAATACTAACAAAGTAACACGTAGCGGGCCACACCGCGTCAACCACATATAAGAATTTGGGCCACACCGGGCCACTCTGGTAGGTATATTTCGATTGTTCAAATAATTATTGCTCATTTATTCATCAAATGATTAATGATTAAAATTAATTGCATTCAGGTGAATATAATAATTTTCAAGCTACTTGCAAAGTATGAAATTGATTTATTAGTTCAATTTAATTGACCCCCTTTTTCTTAACTTAAAATACAGATATTATGTAAATGATTTTTTCACAAAATTTAGTGGAAAGAAAATATTGTTTGTGGGGGATTCACTAAGCCTAAATCAATGGCAATCTCTTACTTGCATGCTTCATGCGGGCAATCCAAACGCTACATACAACTTGACGCAGCAACAACCCATGTATTCCTTTCAATTTCCTGTAAGTCACTTGATTAGCTTTTTTATTAACCATTCAATCTATTGCACTATCAATTGTTAACTAATTTATGGTGACTAAATTACAAAAAATTTTATAACGAAATATTAATTGATCCTAGGATCAATTCTCATCATCTGTCCTTGTGGCTCTCTAACACCCCAAAAAAATAGGCAATTTTATAAACTTGGTTGCTCGTTACGTTGGGTGAATGAGACAAGGGTGGTATCTAGAGCCGCCAATGATAAGGCACTATTGGGTTTATTGGCTAAGTGTTGAATGTAGACATGTGGTTGTAATGGGGACGATAGGTTGCTAATGACTTGACATGTTGGGTAGAATAAAATGTTGGATTTGGTTGTAATTGGTGGTTAATTTACTTAAACAAATTAGGAGGGAAAGAGACCTATGTTCCTATTGAATATTGATCTAGAAAGAAAAAAAGTTTCATAACATACAAAGTGTACGTGTCATGAGACATCTTCACATTCACTACAACTAAAATTAATTACATCTAATTTTCATTAGAGGTGCTTATTTTGGTTTATTTTTTCTTCCTATATTGTTTACTAATGTTTATTATACACTTTATGTATTTAGAAACTTATACATTATAATATGAAAATTTAAAGTAATAACCCGGGACATTACTTGGACCACACACTAGTTGATTGAGATAAATATGTGTAAGTTTAAGTATTTAATTTTAAAAATTTATGAAAAATAAAAAGACAATTTTCTCTTCTAGATATGACTAAATTTAAATAAATTTTTTGGAATTGCAGGAGTATAATCTCACAATTAATATGCAATGGCATCAATTCCTAGTGGACATAGATGTGGAACCAACAGGCAGAATTTTAAAGCTTGAGTCTATCAAGGGTGGTGATGCATGGACTGATTTTGACTTGCTCATCTTTGATAGTTGGCATTGGTGGTTTTATGTTCCACCCCAGCAACCGTATGTCTCAATCTATTTATATATTTTTTGTATATTTCAAGTATCTATTATTACTTTTTCTCAAAAAAAAAAAAAAGGTTGTTAATATATATTGGAATACATTTGTAGATGGGATTTCATACAACTAGGAAATGAAACAAAGAAGGATATGAATCGAATAGAGGCATTCAAGATTGCACTAGGAACTTGGGCAAAATGGGTTGATTCTGCGCTTGATCATAGTAGAACCAAAGTTTTTTATCAGGGCATCTCAGCGTCGCACTATCAGTAAGATAATACTTGCCTTATCCTTCACAGTTAAAACTATATTATGCTTCAATTAGAAACTGTACTACATGCATATTGTTTGCAACGATTAGACATTTTTCCTCTCCACTTTATATCAAATCGTTGCAAATAATATGTAACAGATGTAGTAAATAGGTAGAACAATAGATTTAGAAAAACAAAGTACTCGTAGCTATACAAAATTGTACTACGTAATCATAGATGACATATACTGAATTTGTATTCTTCTTATCATCTTATCTGACCACTTAACTAATTACTTTAATCATATAGTCCGTCAAATTACAAACGATGTGTTATTACTCCATGTGTATGTTACATGTACCAATACAATAAACAAAATACAAAAGACAATTACTAAATATTTGCCAACTTTAATTAACACATCCTAAATGACATAATTCCCATAAAATTGGCAGTGGCATTGATTTTGGGAAACCAACGGCACAAGGTTGTTATAAGGAGACACAACCAATACTTGGATCAAAAAGCCCAGCACCACCAAGCCCAGGAATCGGTATAGTGAATAACATATTGGGCCAAATGAATAACCCAACTTTCTTTTTGGACGTCTCATTGTTGACCCAATTAAGGCCCGATGCACATCCTCAAAAATATGGTGCCTCAAAAACTGGTGGAGATTGCACACATTGTTGTCTTGCTGGTGTTCCTGATACTTGGAATTTACTCCTTTATGCTTCTTTATAGTTTTTTAGGCCTTTATTTTTCATTTTTTATGATTAATTAAGGTATACACAATTAAAGTCTCATTCTTGATAGACTTAAGTTGTTGAAATACACATTTATTTTTAATGAAATGTTTAAGAAATAAAAAGTTTAAATTGTCCTCCTTCCTTATGGTACTCGCAGATAGCCATATATAGGTCTGTACATTATAATTGCATTATTCCTTTGACTTTATAGATTTATATTACTGTTTTTATTGTTTATAATGTTTTATAAACAATAAAAACAGTAATATAAATCAATATTAACCGGGGCTTCCTCTATTGTACTATTTTCTATGTACTCCCTCTGCCCACGATTATCTGCACCAAATGTATTTTTTGCGGATTCCTAAGCAAAACTTTTAGTGTAGTTTAATTAAGTTTGAGTGGGTTTAATTAAATAGTAAAAATGAGGAAAATAGGAGACAGAAAGTGGTCCCATATGTTTAAGTATGACAGTGGGTTAAAGTGAGTGGGAAAGAGGAGAGAGAAAGTGGTCCCACATGTTTAATTAAAAAAGGTTAAACAAAATTAATACAAAAAAGTAAGGGTAAGATGGTCTTTTTACATTTTAAATTTTACAAAAAGAGGAAAGAAAAAAAATTTGTTGCACATAATAGAGAGCACCCATTTATGACAAATGTTGCAGATAATTGTGGACGGAGGGAGTATAAGAAATGTGAGTGGGACACAAATCCTAAGTGCATGAAAAAAATGTACATACACATGAGTTGAGGCTTAAAAATTTAAAGAAATATGGGCTATTTTTGGTAGTTGAGTGAATAAAAAAAAATACGAAGGCAGTTTGGTCTTTTCATAGTGTCCAAAAAATGGAAACAATAGATTGGGACACCTAAAATGAAAAATGGGAAAAATGATATGGGACACCTGTAGACACCCATTTGTGTCTCCCCAAAACCAAACCCAGTGATGAGTGCCTTTCACGTCGAATCATAATCGAATGAAACGAAAGTGTGGAAAGGTCTAGTGTTGCGGAAAGTTTTATTTCTTTTCTCTTCTCTCTGTTTTTGAAAACTTTACTTTAAGAAAACAACCAATCCAGTTTGGTTGGTCCATGATATGGGTCCAATAATGGTGTAGTTGGATGGGGTTTGCAAAGACCTTTCCAACGATATATTATAAGCCCAATTCCGATGAATATTGAGGAAGTTATGGCCAATTTACTAAACTGGGCTCGGTTTGAGTTTTAAGTACGGCCCAATGATCTAGGGGAGGGCCTAATATAATTTATCATTCCTAATGCAATTAGGAATGGTTTTAGTTTTCTAGAATATTCTAGAAGGTTCTTTTCATTCTTAATTCAATTAGGACTCTTCAGAGTTTTAATCAAGATCAAATAGCATTTTCGACTGAAATTATATTATTTTATCTTCCAGTACGGAAATTTATCAGATTTTCGAAAACGTGTTGAAATCCAATTTGGCGTCCAACCCCAGGCCTTGGCGCCTGGAACCAGGATTGGCGCCAGACGCCAGCCATTGGCGCCTGGCGCTTGCCACTGGTCCTGGCGCCAATGAGCTAGGGCTGGAGCCAATGTGTTTTTGCGATCTTCAGACTCTGTTTTGATAAATTATCTTTTTTGGCTGATTTTCTCTATAAATATCGTATCAAAAACTCCGTTTTCATTCATCATCTACATCTATCATTCACCAATTCTCTTTATTCTTAAGTTTTAATAAACTCTGTTTTCAAAAGAAACCAATCACGAAGAATCATCAGTTCTCTTCTTCATTCATTCTCTTCAACTCTCAATCATTCATCAAGTTCTTTGAATTCATTCATCTCTTCATTCTTTTATAAACTTTGCTTTTTAACACAAAATTCCGCATTCACAAGATCTTGAAACACCTAGCCATATTCGAAGTTGCCTTCGCCCTAGACGTGAAAGGTTTTAATTTCTGAGGGTTTGGTCCCAAATCTCTCTTTCAATTATTTAATTTAATTGCTTTGATTATTTTTTTCCTTGAAGTTACTAACGTGTGTATTTTGTTATTAGAAAGAGGTACGAGGCATCCAAGTAAGTACTTTAATGGTTTTAATTGATCTATGATGTAGATATCATGTTTATATTGTTATCATGATTCCTAGTATCATGTCTAGGTTAATTTTAATATCAAATATGATTGCTATGATGCCTTTTATTCTCTTCCTAATATTTATGATTGTTAGTATCATGTTAGGGTTAAAGATTTGATTTTTATTGCTTAGTGACATGCTAGGGTTTGTTATTAATCTTGTTAGTATCATGCCTAGGATCTTGCTATGTTTATTATGCTTTAACATGATTATAATTATAATTTATGGTTATCATGGTGATTGTGATTATTTTAATGATGATTATTTTATTCCTGATCATGATATTTATTATGTTGCTTGATACATTATTATTCTTTATTGCTTGATCACCTTTCATGCATGTTAAAGGGAATTGGTATTTGCAATCACGAATAAGATATTTAATAATCTTGATAGGGTTAATTGTGATTAGTAATTCAAGTGATTGCCAATAATAGTTCATTTGTGCATTAAATTCAACCAACATAGATTAAACAGGTTTAGGGTTAATCCTATTGATTGTATATTAATCAGAAAGCGCACATGAATACGAGCAGAATAAAGTAGAGGCCTATTATTAGGGCAGGTTCAATCTCTTTTAGGTTGGATTTATACCATCATCCCCGAACCCTTATTTGGTTCATGACCTTATGGATTTGACGATCTCTTGGATCGTTAAGGGGTGTAACCTTCACCTCGTGAACGGTTTACAAGTTCCTTAAAAACTTGTTGGCGACTCTTTTGCTCTATCTTCTTCCCTTTTGGACGCCACCGTACTTTAGTGTATGATCACAGTGGGGTTCAAGCTAGTGGGATTTTAAAGGTTTGAAACTATTCCCCACAACACCCTAATTGAAAAATGAGAAAAACAATATGAGACGAGTGGAGTAACATATTTGTGCAAGTAAGGTTTGTTTCGGGTGTTTTTTGGATTTCCTTGGATACTGGTCACACTCTTCTGGCAACGAGACTGAGACACCTGCAAAACAACGAATATTCCGTTGTCGGAATATTCGCCTCCGACGATCAAGTCAGTGATCGGAAACGGAAAAGGCTAGAGAGAGAAAGTAGAGTGAAGTTGGAGCTATTAATGCTCTTTTTCTTGTAATGTCTTAATCCACCCCTCCCATCATAAATGATTGGGGTATTTTATAGGGGTGGAGCTTGTGTCGATTTTAGGGTTTGTACCCTAAAATTGCGTGACGTGATTGGCTGCGCAATTGGAGAACGCCACGTGCTATTTTGGGGGCGCCGCTTTGCGGCTTTCAATGATATCTCTCGGGATTTAGGCCCTGATGTAATTAGGCCTCTTTTGCGTGCTGGTTTCAAGGGTTATATATGCCCTAAACACGTGGCATCTTCCTGTAGTGACACGTGTCACCCTCTCGTTGGGCCACATGTCGCTACAGGATTGGCCCGAGCTTTTGAGTGCTTTTAAGCTGGATGCGTGGCATCTTCCCATAGTGACACGTGTCACCCTCTGACTAGGCCATGTGTCACCACGGGACTAGTCCACGCGTACGGGGTATTTTTACCCTCAACATTTTCCTCTCAAAGGGGGTGGCTCGTACGCTAACCGGCCGCCTCCTCTAACCTTGACTAGCCTTGGTGTGTACGAGTACATTAGGATTTTGACAGACGGCTTTGGTCCGCCCAAAAATTTCAAGCGAACGCCCTTCTTTGGAGAGGGTGCGAGCAAACACCCCTCTTTGCAAAGGGTGCGGACAACAGTTGGTCGTTTAGTTTTTTGGGGAAGTCGGCCGTCTATCTATTGCGGAGGGAGCTTTAGCTCCGTCTTATTATCCGTTTATTTTTGGACGTGCCGTTATTAGGTCGCTTCCTTTTCCGCCTATTCTAACAGCGTTGTACTTCGCCCCTTCAAATTCTAGGTTAAATTTTCAAAATATAACCGTTCAACTTTTTTCGGCGGGAAAGATGAATTACCATCTTACCCCCATAAATTTTGCCTATAAATATAAGGGGTTTGACCTCATTTTGGCACTTTACATTCTTGAGAATTCTAGAGAGAAGTCAGAGCATTTCTAGAGAGAGAAAGTGATTTCCCCCTGAATCTTCAAGAGCTCCGCCGCGCAATTTGAGTTTCCAAGAGACTTTTTGTGTTGGTCAATCTTCCAAGATCTTCAAGAACTTCAAACTTTCAGCACGTACGGAGGTAGGCCGCCCATTTTCTTCTTCTTGTATTAATAATAATAATAATTTTTTTTAAACTAGCTCAACACTCGGCTTCGTCCGTTTCTCCTCATGAGGCCGGCCGTTCGCCTGGGATTGAGGAGTCTAGAGTGGACGGAGACGAGTTATCTCCTTCATGGAGTGGGTCCATTTCTAGTGCGTACCAACTCACCTACACCTATTCTTCTGTGTCCCTTCAGTCGAACATGGAGAGAACCATGCAAACGCATGATCGCGACGCGGCCAGAAATCCGGACGACAGTTTGGTAAATCCTAGGGTCCCCTATGACCCAAATAATACTGACTTGGAGACCGGATCCACCACCCGAACAACCGCTTCCACGGGCAATCACTGCTCGACCGTGGAAGTAACTTCTTCCTTTGAGGAGCGCCAAAGAGCTCAGGGCACTTCTGCCGCAGTGGGAACGTCCGAGCGAACTCCGGGATTAATGTTGCCCCAATATGCCAACTCGGTCATGGATGAGGCCGAGTTGCTACTTTGTGAAGGACCTCCTTCTTCTTCCCGGGCGGACGCTGATCCGTCCGTCCCAACCCCTTCTGAACTCTATCTTCCATATGGCAGGTCGGACAGGCCATTGACTGGGATCTTGATTAATGAACCGTCCGACCTGCCTCCTCCAAGTGCCCCTCCTATAGGGAGACAGGCGGCCGCTGCCAAAGACAAGGGCAAAAGGCCCTTAATTCTTGAATACATTCCCTCATCCAGGAGCGACTATAGTTCTAGGGGCCGCAGGTCAGCAGAGGCAGCCGATCTGGATAGAGTGTTGTCTTCTGAGTTTGGGAATGCTCCTCAACAAGAGGAAGAGGAAGAGGTCGAGAAAGCGGCCGAGGGCGAGGCGGTGGCCGAGGAGGATGTCGCCAAAATTGACAACTTTAAAGATCCGTACGCCTGTACGGTGGGTAGCACGGCCTTGGGCTACCTAAATTACAAGTTTGAGACATACAAGGCATTCCTCCACCTTGGGGATAGATTTGAGATTCAACCTCCAAGGAAGTCACGTGCTTTGGCTGCTTGGGAGGAAGAGAGGTCGCGTCAAAGGTCCTTCAGTGTTTATAGGGCGGCCTTAGACGTTGGACTGCGCTTCCCTCTCCACCCCTTCGTCCGCACCATTTTGGACGAATATGACATCGCTCTGTTCCAGCTGATGCCGAACAGCTGGTTGAACATTTTTGGGTATCTAGTGACGTGCATCTGCAAAGGCTTCAAGCCGGACTTTGCAGTTTCTGTGAGATGCACTCACTAACCAAGCTGGACGCAGACACGGACGGCTGGCTTATTCTTAGTTCCAACAGGGACTACACGGTGGTGGTTGACCGCGTTTCCAAATGGCGTGATTGGAAGCACCGATTCTATCGCATCAAGACCAAAGATGTTGAATTTAACTTGCGGATGAATCAGTTTAATGCTGAAAAAATTCAGCTTGGACGCGGGGACCTCAAGCCTAATAAGCCACCCGTCCACCCCAGCCAAGAGCATCAGCTTGAATACTTCAAAGTCAAGAGGGTGAAGAGGAACAGCAAAACTGAGAGCGTTCCGAGTAACTGGGTCCCTTTATCCAGTTGGCTTCGAGATCCTACGTTCATGTCGGCCTACGGCCTGTACAAGAACTTGCCCCAAGGTGGACGCATGGACATATATAGGTTTTGCATGT